AATCCTGGACGCCCCATCATCTCAGGCATTGGCACCCTAACATCAGGCTTGTCTGGTTATGTGGACTCTCTCCTCAGACCCTACGCTACCAGCACTCCCAGCTATCTTCGAGACACCACTGACTTCCTGAGGAAACTACAATCCATCGGTGATCTTCCAGAAAACACCATCCTGGCCACTATGGACATAGAAGCCCTCTACACCAATATTCCACACAAAGATGGACTACAAGCTATCAGGAACAGTATCCCCGATAATGTCACAGCTAACCTAGTGGCTGAACTTTGTGACTTTGTCCTCACCCACAACTATTTCACATTTGGGGACAATATATACCTTCAAGTCAGCGGCACTGCTATGGGTACCCGCATGGCCCCACAGTATGCCAACATTTTTATGGCTGACTTAGAACAACGCTTCCTTAGCTCTCGTCCCCTAATGCCCCTACTCTACTTGCGCTACATTGATGACATCTTCATCATCTGGACCCATGGAAAAGAAGCCCTTGAGGAATTCCACCATGATTTCAATAATTTCCATCCCACCATCAACCTCAGCCTAGATCAATCCACACAAGCGGTCCATTTCCTGCACACTACTGTGCTAATAAGCGATGGTCACATAAATACCACCCTATACCGGAAACCTACTGACCGCTACACTTACCTACATGCCTCCAGCTTCCATCCAGGACACACCACACGATCCATTGTCTACAGCCAAGCTCTAAGATATAACCGCATTTGCTCCAATCCCTCAGATAGAGACAAGCACCTACAAGATCTCTATCAAGCATTCTTAAAACTACAATACCCACCTGCTGAAGTGAAAAAACAGATTGACAGAGCCAGACGAGTACCCAGAAGTCACCTCCTACAAGACAGGCCCAACAAAGAAAATAACAGAACACCACTAGCTGTCACCTTCAGCCCCCAACTAAAACCTCTCCAGCGCATCATCAGAGATCTACAACCTATCCTGAAAGATGATCCCTCACTCTCACAGATCTTGGGAGACAGACCTGTCCTCGCTTACAGACAACCCCCCAACCTAAAGCAAATACTCACCAGCAACCACACATCACTGAACAAAAACACTGACCCAGGAACCTATCCTTGTAACAAAGCCCGATGCCAACTCTGTCCACATATCTATTCAAGTGACATCATCACAGGGCCTAATCACATCAGCCATACCATCAGGGGCTCGTTCACCTGCACATCTACCAATGTGATATATGCCATCATGTGCCAGCAATGCCCCTCTGCCATGTACATTGGCCAAACCGGACAGTCTCTACGCAAAAGAATTAATGGACACAAATCTGACATCAGGAATCATAATACTCAAAAACCAGTGGGAGAACACTTTAACCTGTCTGGCCATTCAATGACAGACCTGCGGGTGGCTATCTTACAACAGAAAAACTTCAAAAACAGACTCCAACGAGAGACTGCTGAGCTGGAATTGCTATGCAAACTAGATACGATCAGCTCAGGATTGAATAAGGACTGGGAATGGCTGAGCCATTACAAACATTGAATCTATCTCCCCTTGTAAGTATTCTCACACTTCTTATCAAACTGTCTGTACTGAGCTATCTTGATTATCACTTCAAAAGTTTTTTTCTCTTACTTAATTGTCCTCTCAGAGTTGGTAAGACAACTCCCACCTGTTCATGCTCTCTGTATGTGTGTATATATATCTCCTCAATATATGTTTCACTCTATATGCATCCGAAGAAGTGGGCTGTAGCCCACAAAAGCTTATGCTCTAATAAATTTGTTAGTCTCTAAGGTGCCACAAGTACTCCTGTTCTTTTTGCGGATACAGACTAACACGGCTGCTACTCTGAAACCTGAGCAGGGAATGTCTCTGCACCTGCCACGAGGGGGCAGGCTGGGACCAAGGCAGCTCCCATGGGGAGGGGCGATGGGATGCTGCAGGCACAGGCCGATCCAGTTGCTGATCTCGCCTTGCTGGAGCGGGGCGTGGATCGCACACGCCCCCTCGGCCTCCGGGCAGCAGGGCGGGGCTCCCAGCTGAGAATTCCTGCCTGGGTGACTCACCAGCTTCAGAAATTATCTTCCCCTCCCAGGGGCAGAAGGGGACTTTCCCAGCTGGGATTCACTCCCGGGGCTCCTTGTGGGTCACCCCGCCAGATGCACCCCCTCGCAGGCCGGGCACTGATGGGGAAACCCTTTTCCAAACTACAGCCAACCCCCACCCTGCTTAGCCAAGCCAGGCTTAACCAACGTTTTCGCTCAGCATATGCCCGGGGATCTGCCTGGAACCTGCTCCGGGAGACACCAGAGCTGGGCGGCCCTGGGTTCCATCCCATTTGGGGAGCAGACCCCACTCTGCTACATAGAATCATAGAAGATTGGGGCAGGAAGAGATCTCAGGAGGTATCTAGTCCAACCCCCTGCTCAAAGCAGGACCAACCCCAACTAAATCATCCCAGCCAGGGCTTTGTCAAGCCTGACCTTAAAAACCTCTAAGGATGGAGAGTCCACCACCTCCCTAGGGAACCCATTCCAGTGCTTCACCACCCTCCTAGTGAAATAGTGTTTCCTAATATCCAACCTAGACCTCCCCCACTGCAACTTGAGACCATTACTCCTTGTTCTGCCATCTGCCACCACTGAGAACAGCCGAGCTCCATCCTCTTTGGAACCCTCCTTCAGGTAGTTGAAGGCTGCTATCAAATCCCCCCTCACTCTTCTCTTCTGCAGCCTAAATAACCCCAGTTCCCTCAGCCTCTCCTCGTAAGTCATGTGCTCCAGCCCCCTAATCAATTTCGTTGCTCTCCGCTGGACTCTCTCCACATCCCTTCTGTAGTGGGGGGGCCCAAAACTGGACACAATACTCCAGGTGTGGCCTCACCAGTGCCGAATAGAGGGGAATAATCACTTCCCTCAATCTGCTGGCAATGCTCCTACTAATGCAGCCCAATGTGCCGTTGGCCTTCTTGGGAACGAGGGCACACCGCTGACTCATATCCAGCTTCTCATCCACTGTAATCCCCAGGTCCTTTTCTGCAGAACTGCTGCTTAGCCACTCGGTCCCCAGCCTGTAGCGGTGCATGGGATTCTTCCTTCCTAAGTGCAGGACTCTGCACTTGTCCTTGTTGAACCTCATCAGATTTCTTCTGGCCCAATCCTCCAATTTGTCTAGGTCACTCTGGACCCTATCCTTACCCTCCAGCGTATCTACCTCTACGGACCAAGGAGGAGCCAGAGAGGTGCAACCCAATGGCCCATCTAGTCCAGGATCCATCCAGCCCATCACTGGATGCTCCAGAAGAAGGGAGAACTGCCCCCACTGTCTCCTCCCCCCGTGCATGAGCAGGTCCCCTCTCTCTGCCCCACGGCTCTCCCCAGCTGGAACATGGGGCTAACAATACCAATCCACCTCTGCAAAGCACAGAGAGATCCATGGATTGAAGTTGCTACCTGTTATTGGCTCAGGGGAGAGGTGCAAGGGATTGAGGGTCCGACCTCCTCTATAGCCCAGGCCAGGGAACCTCACCCAGCGGTTCCTACATCCAGCCCATATCTGGTGGTTGAGCTAGAGCACAACTTTTAGAAAAAAACATCCCATCTTGATTCCCAGACAGCAAGTTATGGAAAATCCACCACGTCCTTTGGTAAATTGTTCCAAGGGTCAATTACCCTCCACTGCTAAAAACCTTATTCCTCATCAAAATTTGTCTGGCTTCAGCACCTTCCAAGTACTGGATATGGCTCTGCCTTTGTCTGCTGAAGAGTGGTGTCCTATCAGAAATCTCGTCCCCCTGGAGGTACTTACGGATGATGATCATATCACCCCTTAGCCCTCTCTTTGGTAAACCAAATAGATTAAATCCCTCCCTAGAAGGCAGGTTTTCTAGATACCGAATCATTCTTCAAGCTGTTTTTCTGAACTTTCTCCTATTTGCCAACAGCCCGTTGGAGGTGTGGACCCCAGAACCGGACCCAGTAAAGGTCTCCTGAATGCTGCATACACTATATGCCCGTTTACCCGAACTGCCACGTTACCCCACTCCCTTGTCCCCCAGACTGAGATACAGGATACACTCACGCTGGGGGAGGAGGGTGGGATCTGGACTATGCGAAGGTTTGGATAACAGGGCAGAGACCCCCAGCCAGGACTGTGAGGAGGACGAGCCCCCAGCTGGGGGGAGTCCAGCCTGCTGCTGAATGGTTCCTGCCCTCTCCGTGATCTGAATCAAATCCATGTCCCCACACTCTGCTATTTGATAATTACCCTGCATAGAGGCACCCCTGCTCCCACTCAATGGCCCCCGCTGCGGGGAGGGGGTCACAGTGGAATTGGAACCCCTGGTGGGATGTTTTGGGGGCCGTTTCCCCACTTCCTCCCCTCCTCCCCCGTTACTTACGGCTCCCTGGTACATGTCAATCTCGCGATCGGTGAAGTAGGGCAGCTGTTTGAAAGGGTTGACGGAGATGAGGACCGGCCCGATGTACGTCTGGGGTTTCTGAGATAAGGATCGACCAGCGACAACAGCAACGGAAAAGAACCCAGGGTTCCTCAGAGCCCGATCCACACAGCCCACCCCGTTTTAAAGGGCCGCACACGGTTACTACATACAATCACAATCACCCCCACACCGAATCTGCACAGCAGCAGACACACGGACATTGCTACCTGCTGGTAAAATGTGCACCACGTCCCTTTCTAGGGTAATAGCCTACTACCTCTTACCAGCTAACAGAATTCCCCCTTTCACTCAAGTGGTGGAGGGACACGCTGTGGTGGGTTCAGTCCCATGCAAGGGGTCATTACAACCTCACAGCAACCCGCCCATCAGCCAGATGTACCTGACAAGCAAGAGCCCCTGCGTTTACTATTAAACTCCCTACCTCACCATTAATAAAAGCACCCAGGATTATTCAACATACAGAAGAAATTTGCAGCAGCTCTGTTACTTGTCCCCATCAATGCAGGTTGATCAACCTCCACTCCACTTTCCTCCTTTGGAGCAGTGAGATCGGCTCCCAATTTGCTTTTGCTCCTAGTGAGTTTCATTATCCAGTCTCAAGGCTGGGGTGTGTGTTTATGGCACAGCAGTAACTAACGTGCCTTCCAGGTCCAGCAGGAAGGGGGCTACGGAGAGACCTGGATCCAGGCAGAGATTAGGGGTAGAGCTGGATGGAAAGTTTTCAACCAGTTTTCATTAGAAAACACCATCTACTCAAAATTGAAGGGTTTTTTGCATGGTCCTCTCCATTTCTATTAAGTTTCATGAAAAAAATTGGAAAATGTTTCAAAAATCTCAAACCCATCCCGTTTGGACATTTTCGGAAAAGTTCCGGTTTTTCGTTTCAGAATGACAGTCGATTTTGAAATTTTCTCTATTTTATCTTAAAAAAGTAAAAGGAGCAAAACCGACATGAAACGTTTTCATTGACCCCAAATGATTTTTTTTTCCTTCAGAATTTCGTTTTGCAAATTTTTTTGAAATTTTGGCTTTTCATCGTGATTCGGGATGAAACAAAACCCTGAAATCTCCAAATTTTTCGTGAGACAGAAAATCTGTTTTCCAACTGGCTCTAATTAGGGGATTCTCTGAGTAAAATGCTGAATTTGGTCCCATCCATCCATGCCTGGGTTCTATTCCTGTCTCTACAGCCCTACTGGGTGACTTTGGGCATTCACATTCCTGCTCTGTGCCTCGGTTTCCCCTCCCCACCTTTTGTCTGTCATGCCTATTCAGACTATGAGCTCTCCTGGGCAGCGACTGTCTCTCACTCTGCGTCTCTGCCTGGCCCACCCCAACACACTGGGGCCGCTACCAAAATACAAATTATACTAATAATCCGTCACGATACTGATATGATCGTTAAAAGCATCTCACTGATCCCTGAGACGCCTCGATTGCTCCAGGTGTTACCCTGGCAATGGGCTGACCCAGAACCAGCCAATCCTGGGGAAGCTGGGGCTTGACCCCCCCACCCCTTTCCCAATTATCCCCATGCAGTTTTGCAAACTGCTGTCCCTTTGGGCCAGGGAGCAATCGGCATTTCCCTCCTCCCCTGCCATATCCTCCAAGTTCCCGGCGTCGCTCTCCCTGCTCCCAGCCCGGCAAGGATACGAAGATGTAGTCATCCAGGAAGCGTTTCTTGAGGTTCTCCACGATGGCGTCCTCGCTGATCTTAGCCAGCAGCACCATGTCGTCCACCCCGCTGTGCTTGACATTCTGCGCCTGCCAATGGTAGCGCTCCTTGCTGCCCTGCGCGGGGAGGGGAACACAACGGGACAGGTCACAGCACTGGCTAAGCTCAGGGTGGGGGAGCCTGGGGGACGCCAGTGCTCAGCAAACACGGTGCCCTCGGCTGCCTCCGTCGGGTTCCGCTCCAGACAGGGAGGGGATGGCTTAGGGCTGCTAAGCGAGTCCGGCACCGGGCTGGCAACCAGGAGATCTAGGTTCAGCTCCCTGCCATGGACACCCCATGTGACCCTGGGGGAGTCACGTGATCTCTCTGGGCCTTGGTTTCCCATCCGTGAAACAGGGATCCCCTTCTCCCGCTTTGTCCGTCTCAGTCATGGGCTCTGTGGGAGAGGGACGGGCTCTGTGTCTGTGCAGCGCCTGGCCCAGTGGAGCCCCAATCTCATCTGGGTCGCCTATTATTTGTATTACGGTAGCACCAGGGCACCCCAGTCACAGACCAGAAACCCATTGTGCTAGGCATAGTACATTATTAGATGTATTATGGTAGCACCTAGGAGCCCCAATCATGGACCAGGACCCCATGGTGGTAGGCACTGTACATTATTTATTAGGTGTATTACGGTAACACTTAGGAGCCCCAATCATGGACCACGACAGCATGGCACTAGGCACTCTACATTATTTATTAGGTGTATTACGGTAGCACCTAGCAGCCCAGTCACAGACCAGGAGTACATGGTGCTAGGCCCTGTACAAACACAGACCACATTGTCCCTGCCCCACAGGGAGTGGAGTGTAGATGCTACCATGAAAGCCGAAGCCTTGTCCGGTCTGCACGAGTACTTGAGACCCTTGGCCTCTTGCCCAGTGCCCTTAGGTCAAACTCCTCTGCCTTGTCCTGTGTAACTGGCTGCCGTGCTCCACCCTAGAAGAGGCTGCATGATGCCCGGGTGTCTGTAGCTTATAAACTGAAATGCAGGATGACGATGTTACAAAGACCAAGAGGATGTAAAGCTATGATCAGCCTCTGCCCCCGCACCAAGGCACCACATGTGTGTGTGTCTCTCTCTCTCACACACACACACACACACACACACACACACACACACACACACGTTTTAGCGCAGAGACATGCAATGACTTTGCGGTCTTGCTGTCCATCCAGCACCAACAAAGAGCTAGGCTCTCTCTTTTCTTCATCTGGCCACTAATTCCCACTGTCTTGCCAGCCCCAGGGGTTCAAAAACCAGGAGTCGAGCCCACAAAAAGGGTGAGATTGGCTTAAACATAATAAGATTTAATAAACAAAGAAAGGCTGGGACTCTGTTTGCCATGTTTTTTGAGCCTTTAGAGAGTTGTGCTTCCAAGTTTTTCTGCATAAGCACCGGGGCCAGAAACCTGCCTTTAAAAAAATGAATTAATTAAAGCTCAAGATTCTCAAGTGCTGGTATGACTCTGGGAGCCGGGACTTGAAGCAAAAACGAACCATCTATTGCAAGACTTGTGGTAAAATGGCAAAAGTTGGCAAGTGCTGTATCCTGAACTCGGTGCATGGCTCTGGGCAAGTCACACCCCTCCCCCTCCATGGGTGTGCCTCAGTTTCCCCACCTATACAATAGCAACGGTGCAACTGACCCTCCTTGCAGAGGCTGCTGCAACCCTGCCAGGTGTTACCACCATCCCGGGCGCATCATGGGGGTTTGACTTTCCCCTCTCTGACAAACTCCATTATTAATGGACAGAGACGCTTTGCCCTTGATTTCCGACGGGAGAGAAACTGACCCAGATGGATGGAAACAGAACCCTCCCAGCAGCGCAAACTGCTCACGATCCAGTGGTCTTGCCCAGCGGGCAGGGAGGGCCGGGATGTATGCTGCTGGCAAAGGGAACCGCGATTCTTGCCCCCCTGGGTTAACAGCTGGGAGGATCTGGAGCACCCCAGGGTGAGATGGGAGGGAGGGGGGAAGAGAGAGCGAGCCAATGTGTGTGTTGTTTGGGCTATGTGTGTGCACACAATTGCCCCCTGCCTCCCTGCAAAAGCAGACAACCCACAATCCACTTCTCCCCCACCCCCACTCCCCTGCTGCATCAGCACAGAAGATGGGTGGCTCTGCCCTGCCCCCTCCCCAGGCCGGGTGACTGCGATCAAACCCCCCCATCCCCGCTCTGAGCCAGCGAGGAAACTTCAGACAGGCTCCTGGCTGTTGCCAAGTGCTCCTTCCTCCGGCCCACACAGACAATGCGAGCGGTCAGTTGCTACGCGACCGACGCCGGTGGCACTCACGGAGGGAAGGGTTGGCAGCGGGAGGAGGGGCGGCGCGGAGGGAACGCTGCAGAGGCTCTGGCCGAGGCTAGGACGACGTTCTCCTTGCGGCTGCTTGACCATGCCACCCTGGCCTGCGTGGAGCAGGGTCAGACAGCCAGGCCTGACCGCTGATCATAGCCATGGTGCTGCCGGCTCTCCCGCAGTATTTGGGGGCTTAATTCAATCCCCAGCTCCCGGAGTCACGTGAGATTCTGTTTCCTTTAAGAAAACCCAAGTTTCTAACCCTTGTAAATTATCTGTCCCCCATCTCCATAGTATCTAAAAACCTGACACTGTTCAGCATGTCTACCCTCACAGCCCCCCAGGAGGCAGGGCAGCGCGATTATCCCCATTGTACAGAGGGGAAAACTGTGGCACAAAATGACTGGTTCAAGGTTCCACAGGGAAGTCAGTGACAGAGCAAGGAATTGAACCCAGGAATCAAGTCCAAAGCTGGCACCCTAACCACTGAGCTCTCCCACCTCTCCGTGGAAAGCTTGGCACGAGCCCTGAAGGTTCAAACAGCCAGTGGCAAATAAAAAGAAACCCAACATTTATTTTTATTTTTTTTAAATCTGCAGATTTTTACAGCCAATCTGGTGATTTCTGGGGACTGACTCCTGGTGCATGAGCACTTGGGGCTGGCGCCTGCGTGCAGTGACACCGGCCTCGTTCTCGCCTCGTGCTGGCCCAGCTCTAGAGCATGCAGAGTAAATACGAAAAAAATATATGATGTATTTGGATGGTGGCAGTGCCCATGGGCCCCGTGGCGCTAGGCCAGGGGTGGGCAAACTTTTTGACCTGAGGGCCGCATCGGGTTTCGGAAATTGTATGGAGGACTGGTTAGGGGAAGCTGTGCCTCCCCCCAAACAGCCAGGCGCGGCCCGGCCCCCTATCCACCCCCCCCCGCCTCTTGCCCCCTGACGGCCCCCTCCAGGACTCCCCCCCCACCCACCCCCCCCTATTCCCTGACACCGCCCCCCCCTGCAGGGACCCCTGCCCGATGTCCCCTGACCGCCTCCGGAACCCCCACCCCAGACTACCCCTACCGCCCCATCCAACCCCTCCTCTCATTCCTGACTGCTCCCCCCCCCGGGGACCCCTGCGCCATCCAACCACCCCTTCTCCTTGACCGCCCCCGGAACCCCTGCCCCTGACTGCCCCCTGCTGCCCCATCCAACCCCCCCTCCTTCCTGACAGCCCCCTGGGACTCCTGCACCCATTCAACCCCCCCCCATTCCTCGCCCTCTGACCACCCCGACCCCTATCCACCCCTCCACCCCCTGACCACCACCCCAAACTCCTCTGCCTGCTATCCAACCCCACCTGCTCCCTGCCCCCTTACCGCGCTGCCTGGAGCACCGGTGGCCGCCCAGCCGGAGCCAGCCAGGCCACCATGCAGCACAGAGCACCGGGTCAGCTGTGCTGCTCGGCCGCCCAGAGCATTGCGCCGGCGGCGCGCTGCGGGGGAGGGGGAACAGCAGGGGAGGGGCCGGGGGCCAGGAGCTCAGGGGCCGGGCAGGAGGGTCCCGCGGGCCGGATGTGGCCCACGGGCCGTAGTTTGCCCACCCAGTCTGGTCTGAGCTCAGAGAGCTGTTCAGAACTCATGGTGCCCCAGGACGGATTCTGCTCCTCGGCTTCCCCGAGCGGCAGCATATGCCTGGCACATGGGCAGGGCTGGTGAAAGGGCCTTCGTGCCACCACGGAGCGAGGCAGGTAGCTGGCGAGACCCCAGGGCCAGCAACTGCACCTAGTGACATCAGCCCTGCCACGCCTGTAACAACCCCGTGGCCTGGCCGCTGGTGGGTAGGACACTTAGGTGACAGCGTCTGAGCCTCCCCACCGAGGAGTGCGTCTCGGGCCGGGCTCACCCTCTGGGGCAATCTGGAGCTCTGGCCATGTTAAGCCTCAGCAGGCCTGTGAGAAGGGAAATGCTATTGCCAGGCTGCAGATGGGGAAACTGAGGCACGCAGGAAGGAAGTGACTCACTTGCCCGAGGTTCTAACGTGAGTCAGCGGCAAAGCCAGGAATAGAACTATGGCCCCTTTCTCTCGGCTCTGCGTTCTAACCACTCAACCACACTTGGAAATGAACCCAGGAGTCCTGATTTCCAGCCCCCCAGCCTCCACCACCAGACCCCCCGCCCTCAAAGCAGGGACTAGAGATCAAGGAGTCCCGTCTCCCCATCCCTCCGTGCTCTAACCACTAAACAACGCTGCATTCCTATTGCCTCACCCATTTCGCGTCTCTACTCCCTCAGCCAAGGGCCGGCCCCAGTATCGTATGGTTGTGAAACTGCCTTCTCCGGCAGCGTTATTCATTAACCCGAGCTGGGCGTGTGGGGCTCAGGAAAACTCCCAGGAGAACTTCACTGCACTACAAGAAATGCGCCACCCTGAACGTCACACAGCGTCCCTGAAATCCAGAGCGCTCCAAGCCTCACGGCCACACAGCCGCGAGTGCAAACCTGCCTACCCGGGGAAGCAACGCCGAGGAGGGCTGAGCCCAAATCGCACCTCGCTTCAGCCTCTGCAGGTTCCTAACCCCGGCAAAACCCCACGCCTCGGGGAGGTCCTACAACAGGGCCAATCCTGCGACAAGGATTAATGAAAGGCAGCACAGTCCAGTGAGTAGAGTGCAGGGCTGGGCCTCAGGACACCTGGGTTCTGTTCCTGGCTCTGGCCTGCTGGGTGATTTTGGGCAAGTCTCACCCGTGCTCTGTGCCTCAGTTTCCCCTCCCACCCTGTGTCTGTCTGGAACTATTTGTTATCTTGCTGCTGTAGCGCCTTGGAGCTGTGGTGCCAGGGGCTGTACAGACCTTCCCTGTCCCAAAGAGTTTAGAACCTAAATGCATCTGTGCAATCTCGGTTGGGAGTGGGGCATGCAGCACCTGGCACGATGTGGGGGACCAAATTTAGGTCGGGGTTTGTGTGTGAGCAGCGCCCAGCACTATGGAACCCCAATCTCAGGCGGGGGGAGGGGTCTGTGCAGGGTCCCACACGATGGGGGCCCTGATCTTCGACGGGGGAGGGGAGGCTGTGCAGACTCTGGCCTGACGGGGGCCCCCGATCTCAGTTGGGGTCTGTGTAGGGCCCGGCCCAACGGGGGGGCCCCCGATCTCAGTTGGGGTCTGTGCAAGGCCCAGCCCAACAGGCCCCCTCGATCTCAGTCAGGGCATCCACATACTACCATAATCCACATAACAAGCCACGTGGGCGACTGTGAAAATCACGTCCCGCTCCCTTTCCGAACCCGACGCGCTCAGACGTCACCAGGCGCGCTCGCCCCGCTGCAGGCAATCGGACCCGCCGGCAGGGACGTGCAGAGGGTACCCCAGTGGCAAGGCTGTGGGAGGGGGAACCAGGCAGAGAGATTTCACTGGCACAGGACTAGCCATGACAATTCACACCCGGCTCACGGAGACGGAGCTGCCCCCGCTAGCCAGCAAGGGCAGCGCGAGGAACTGGGGGCCGGGACAAATGCATCCATTGTTTAAGGCACTGGGCTTGCTATGGGCAGCGTTATCCCCGCATGGCCGGGCACTGCCCGAGCCGGGATCCTGGCAGCTCTGGGGTGCAGCACGTCATCTTGGATGGGGGTGGGGGGGTGAAAGCCAGGCCTCTGCTACCAGGCCAAGGTTTGCCCCAGCTAGCGTATGTAATAATGGCTCCCCCAGGCCCATCAGTTCGCTGTGCGCGGGGGTGGGGGAGTTTAGGGCAAGATCTGACCCACTGCGTGTCCCCGCAGTGCACCCACCCGCATGCCCATCCCCCCGATCCACACGCACACACCCACCCCCAGCAGGCATGTCCCCCCCCGGCCCCTCCCCAGCACGCACATGCTCCTGCCTCTCCCAACGCATGGGCGTGCCCACACACGCCCGCCCCACCCCCACACGCTTCCAGCACACGGGACGGCGTCCCCACAAACACAGCCCCAGACCCAGCCGGTACTGCCTGCTCCGCCACAACCGCCCCCCAGCTAACAGCCCCCAAAGGGCCCAGCCGGGAGGAAGGGGGGATCCCCGACCAGGGCCAAGGAGGCTGGCGCTAAGAATAGCCCCGGCAAGAGGAACTGAGCTGAATCACGGCCCCGGGCCAGGCATTTCAGCGTGGGAGGCTGCTGGCACGTGGCTGCGCAGGTCGGATCCTGCCCCAGGGGTCCCCTGCCCAGGGCCAGGGCTGCAGGGGGGCTGTACAAACACCGGGGAAGGGAGCAAGGTTAAGGATTAACCAGCCTGGTGCAAGGGGGGGGGGGGGAAGAGGGAGGTATTGCTGCAAAACCACAGCCTGGTCAGGCTGGAGGCGAGAAGCCTCATCCTGTCGTGCTGTGAAACATGCCCCTCCCTGATCATGGCAGAGACGCCTCTTCCCCACGCCGCCCCTCCCCCCTTCTCAAATTGCCTCACCGCGCTGTTCACACTCACGGGTAGAGAAACCGAGGCACAGGGACTGCCCACCCCTCAGGTCACGGTGACAGATTTGGGAATAGAACCCAGGAGTCCTGGCCCCCAGCCCCCTGCTCTATCCACTAGACCCCACTCCCCTCCCACAGCTGGTTTCCAGCCCCACTCCAGGCTCTAACCAGCAGAGGTGACTGTCACACACACACATTAATCACACTCTATTAATAGATTCCCAGTGACCCGCTGGGCGCAGCCGCCTACCACAGCAGAGCCGCCCCACGGACTGTTCCGCTCACAGGATAGAAGCCAGCAGGGTCCATGCTCACCATCCACCCCAGTGTGGGTCTCAGCTGTGAACACCGGCCCTGGTAACCAGGATCCAGCCAGGACCCCACCACCACCACCTGGGAAGAGCAGGGTGGTTGTGTTCCCACCAGTCACAAGCCGCAGATGGAGACCCCCTGCCAACCCCAGCCAGTGACCCCTGCACCCGACCGGCGCTTGCTGGCCCTGAAAGGTGGGGTGGGGCTGCACCAGGCACCCCATCTTCAGCACCATAAACCCGCAGCTTCCCCCGGCCGAGGGGGCAGTCTCTATAGGTGCGGGGGCAGGGAGGGAAGTTATGGGCACAGAGATTGCAGCCGCGGCAGCATTTGGGGGATGGAAAGTGGGGGCAGCAGAGAGGAACTGCCAGGATCTAAAGCCCCATCTCAGAGGAGGCCAGCCATGCTGGTCTGGGCATTGTGCCCACGATGCCCCTCCCTCAGAGCCTCAGCAGGTCGGCCGAACCCCACCACACCCCCTGCCCCGGGGGGGGAGGGGTGGCTGTGCCCCTCCCCCCCAGGCTGGATGGCCACACCCCCCCGGGAAGCAGGGATGCTCTCTGCTCAGATGTCGTCCCCTTGGGCGCCCCTCCCCCCCGAATTTTGCCAGAATTGTGAATGGGACTATAAGCACATCCAAAAACCTCCTCCCACACCAACCACACGAGAGCCGCTGTTCACACAGGCTCTGCAATAAGTCCAAGCACGTTAGGGGAAGGTTTGAAAACTATGCAGCTCCGAGGGATCTGGCTCCTGGAGCCAGGGCCATGAGCAGCAGGCTGGGGCAGGGATGGGCTTGCTTGACCGAAACCTCATTACACAGGGGTGCAGGCAGGGTCTGTTGTGATAGTGTCCTGCGGGAACAGGACACTCCTGGATCCAAGCTGGGACACTGCAGTGTTGCCACCTCTCACTAGCTGGTACTCTTTGCCAAGCCCCAGCTGCTGGAGTCACGTGAATACAGGAGACTCTCTGCTCATAATTAAAAGGAAAGAACATGTTTCCTGCCCTCATGGTCATGGAGAAAAGCTTAAAAACCCAGCTGGAGTGTAACCTTAAAACCTAAAAACTTTATAACCACCACCACCCCCATGTGGTCAGTCGGTTTGTTTTATTCTGGATTTTCGTGCACTTGTGGTTGATGTGGAGCAGAATTAGCTCCTCCTGCGTTTTAGATCCTCCTGTTTGCTACAAAATTACCCAGGTGAGAACCAGTAAAACATCATTTAACAGGGAGGGCAATTAACCAGTCGACCAGATTCCCAAGGGTCAGGGTGGATTCTCCGGCACTTAGCGTCACTGATATTGAGACTAGACATTTCTTTCCAAAAGATGGGCCGTAGCTGATATGGGCTGAATGCAGGGTCAATCGGTTTTTTTGTCTACATGGGGGAACTTGACTGGCATAGCCATTCCAGAGTAACTCCCCTATGTAGACAAACTATTTCCGAATAAAAGTGATTGTACTCAGGAATAATTACTCCACTTTGTGAGTGGTGTCATTACTCTGGAATAGAGCATTCACACGGAAGCTCTTGTGGAATTGTTACACCCGTCAATTTCCTCCCGGAGACACGGACTAAGGGAGAGTCAGTCCCTGGCTTGTGTTACGCAGGAGGCCAGATCAGATGATCAGAACGGCCCCTTTTGGTATTTTAAAAACAAAATAAATCTATTCAACATTGACAATGCAGCCCTTGGCCTGCAAGTCAGGTCGGTGCCCCGTGCAACGGGGCCCAATTCGACACAAATTGCTCCCCCAAATCCCTTGGCAAACCCATCTCTAACTCACACTCTCTCACCACTGCTCTCAGAAACCAAAGCAGCCATTGAAACAAAGCCCAACCCATGTTGGGGGAGGGAATGGCTGAGCCATCTAAGCATCAGGTTTGAAACAACCAGTTTTCCTAGCACGGTCCTGTTAAGGGAACCCTGAGCTGGGATCTGAACACCTTCCTCCTTCTCAGGAGCCCTGGGACTCACTGCGCCAGGTGCTGTACTAACATTTCTAAAGTGCCTCTCACCATGGCTCCACACTAAAGCTCCCAGGTGTTTTTATGGGGTCCAGTAAAGTCAGTGGCACTCAGAGCCCTTCCTTCCAACCTGTGCTCTGGCAGAAATTCTAGCTACACCATCAGGCAGCAGGGGAAACAGGCACCTTTTAGGAGTTCCCGGGGTGACCTGGCCGGGAATAACACACCCATCTTCCAAGCCCTTTAACATACACACCCCCCTTAAAAATGTCACCGTCTCCTATCTAAACCCCTCCGGGACACCTAGCATTGTAAGGCCCCAATCCTGCAAAGGGATCTGCGGGGGGGTGTGTGTGTCAGGGGTTGCCCAGTGCAGAGATCCAAGGGCCCAAACCTTCACAAAGGGAAGGGAGCAAATATTCAGGGCAGAACTCAGACAGGGCCGTACGCACCCCGATTAGACGGAGAACGTGCGGGGACGACAATATTCTGGCAATATTCTGCCTGCATTCTATAGCAATGCAACAAGGATTTGGCCCTTTTAAGAAGTCTAGCTCAGAAAAGCAAAACCAACCCCTGCAGAAGCCAGAGGAAAGAAAGAGACAGAAGGTTTCTTGGGAATCCCAAGAAAGGACCTCAGGAGGTCATCTAGTCCAACTGCTCAAAGTAGGACCAATTCCCAGGCAGATTTTTGCCCCCATTCCCTAAATGGCCCCCTCAAGGATTGAACTCACAACCCTGGGTTTAGCAGGCCAATGCTCAAACCACTGAACGATCCCTCCCCCCTAGCCCCAGAGGCTATTTCTGACCCAGCTTCTTTCTATCCAATTTGCAAGGTGATTCATGGCAGCTGCTGCTCATTGGGGGCGGGAGGGGGGAGGGAAATGGGGATTTAAGATGCACAAAAACTCTTCCAACGTCCCATTTGCTAATAATTAAACTGGGGAGCGGGGGGGGGGGGTGTGAACTTTTATGGGATTTGCTGCAGGGGGGCGGGCTTGGAGCTTAAAGGGACTGAAGCGTCCCCAGAGGGAGCAGGACACTCACCATGGCTGGATCGTGGTGACTTTTCCCCACTTCCTACCGCCACCCCGGGTAGCTCAGCAGGGACCCATGGCCGGCGCCGGTTCTGGGGGGGGCTGGTCCGGTCCTGCTGCAGTTCGGCCCGTCCCTGGGGGCGGCGGGCGCTTCAGAGCAGCGCCTCTCTCGGGGGAAGCAGCCGGAGCGGAGCCGGGCTGGGCAAAGATGGAAGGCAGGGGCTGGCTGTGCGGAGGGGCAGGTACAGGCAGGTGAACGCCGGGAGCCGGGCTGGCTGCACCGAGCGCTCCCGGGCTGGGCAAGGCGTGGGGAGGGGAGGGGAAGAGAGGAGCGCGCACAGGCGCCCCCTGGTGGAGCGGAAAGGCAGGTGCGCGCAGCTGAGGGCGCCCTCCTAGTCGCGCCTGGCCCCTGGTGGGAGAAAGGGGAACTGCAGCGTTTGGAAACTGGACTTGGGAGGTGTCAGAGGGGTAGCCGTGTTAGTCTGGATCTGTACAAAGCGACAGAGAGTCCTGGGGCACCTTATAGACTAACAGATGTATTGCTCCAATACCTCTGTTAGTCTATAAGGTGCCACAGGACTCTTTGTCGCTTTGGACTTGGGAAATAGACCAGCAGGGCTGACGAGAGGGGGGGGATGCGGGCTCCCCAGCCCGGGGCTGGGGGGCCGGAAGGGGGGCCCGCCCCCCCCCCCCCCCGGTCACCTTACCGGGGCCTGGCGGTCCAGAAGGGGGCCCTGCTTCCCTCCCTCTCGTCAGCCCTGTTTAGCCAGTCGGCCCTTGCTGGGGGGCCCGAAAAAAAATTTTCACCGGGGCCCGAACCCACTCTCGGCGGCTCTGTAGACCAGAGGTAGGTAGGTAGGTAAGTATGTAACCGGGGGGGGGGAGGGAGGAGAGGGGCGCTGTCTACACAGCAACTTGAGTCCAAGCTGCCAACTCAGGCTTGAGCCTAACTCCCCTTCCATTTTCAGACTGAGCCCTCGAGGTGGGAGGGTCCGAGCCGGAGTCAATCCGGGACCCAGGTTCAAGCCCCAGTGCTTTGCAATGTAGCCCGAGGGTATGTCGGTGCGGCAGTAAAACACCCACAGCTGGCCCATGTCAGCTGACTCAGGGTCCCAGGCTGCAGGGTTATAAAACTGCAGAGTAGATATGGGGGCTTGGGCTGGGATCCTTGTGAAGGTCTCATCCCCTCTGCAATGCAGCCCAGGGTTCGTAGCACTTGAGTTAGCAGACACTGGGTTTGTTAATCTAGGGCAGGCCTGCACAACTCGTAAAGCGGTGAAGGCCATATTACTCCAAAGAAAACAGCTGAGGGCCAAAACCCCCCGGCCCCGCCGAACCCCCCCCCCCGCGCCACCCGCCCCACAGAAACAACCCCCCCAGCTCCCCCGGGAACCCTCCCCCAGCGCCGCCCGCCCCATGGAAAAAAACCCTCCTTCCCCAGCGCCGCCCTGCTGAAACAGCAGTATTGAACCTTGGTAATATGTTATAGCTGGCCCTAAGGTAGTATAATTAAGGTAAAAGAAAACTGTCTTTTTGCTGGAAGTAGAATAAGATCTTCCCCCCACTTTGTAATCAATTGCCCTGTTGAATGAATACGATGTGAATGAGGAAGGCAGCACCTCCAGACAGCTGCAACCCTTGGAGAGGGGATGGGAGCCAGACCAGATCAGAAGAACAGGTCAGCTACCGGCTCGCCGCTCGCCTACTCAGCCCCCCTCCCCTAGCTCACCTACTCACCCCCGCCACTGCCCGCCCACCCGCCTCCTCAGCCCCCCACCACCCCAGTTTACCTACTCAGCCCCCCTCCCCTGCCACTGGCTCACCTGCCCCCCCCGCCACTGCCCCCCCGCTTGCCTCCTCAGCCCCCACCCCTCCAGCTCGTCTACTCACCCCCCACCATTGCCCGCCCGCTTGCCTCCTCAGTAGGGTTACCATATTTAAAAAATAAAAAAAGAGGACACTCCACGGGCCCTGGCCCCGCCCCTTTCCCACCCCCCGGCCCCACCCCAACTCCGTCCTTTCCCCGCCCCTTCCCCAAAGTCCCCGCCCTAACTCCCCCTCCTCCCTCCCAGCCACGTGAAAAGGGCTGCCCGAGCGCTACTTTTGCCCCAGTCTACTGATGGGAAGTGCTAGGTAAGAGCTAAGGAGTACAGTAACATAAGAATGGCCTCACTGGGTCAGACCAAAGGTCCATCCAGCCCAGTATCCTGTCTACCGACAGTGGCCAATGCCAGGTGCCCCAGAGGGAGTGAACCTAACAGGTAATGATCAAGTGATCTCTCTCCTGCCACCCATCTCCACCCTCTGACAAACAGAGGCTAGGGACACCATTCCTTACCCGTCCTGGCTAATAGCCATTAATGGACTTAACCTCCATGAATTTATCCAGTTCTCTTTTAAACCCTGTTATAGTCCTAGCCTTCACAACCTCCTCAGGCAAGGAGTTCCACAGGTTGACTGTGCGCTGTGTGAAGAACTTCCTTTTATTTGTTTTAAACCTGCTGCCCATTAATTTCATTTGGTGACCCCTAGTTCTTATATTATGGGAACAAGTAAATAACTTTTCCTTATTCACTTTCTCCACATCACTCGTGATTTTATATACCTCTATCATATCCCCCCTTCATCTCCTCTTTTCCAGTATCACCATTAACTTTACATCACATTGAAGTCCGTGGGAGTTAGGCACATGCTTATAGGCTCTGCTAAATTGAGGCCAGGCCCCTTTTCCTGCAAGAAAGGTGGCCACGCCCAGCAGAGGTAAGGCATGGGACCATACAGGGTTTAAGAGAAGAGCAAACAGAAAAAAAAAAAAAAAGAGACTCAGTCAGATTTAGGATATTTACAGCCCCCAGAGGGGTTACTACTCACCTCTCACAGGATCTGCCTATTCGAACAGCAGAAGCCATCACTAGGTCCCACCTATGCTCGAGAAATTATGCATGCAAGCCACTTGCACTGACCAGCAGCTCCCAGAAGCCAGCAGCAGTTGACACAGATTGTCCAGCTGGGGTACGGTCCCATCAACACTAACCCAGCAGGGGAGCTGCTCCCATCAATGCTAGGCAGATGGCAAACATTGCTTCCCAACAGGGCTAACCGCTTGGACCGCTCAGGTTGTGGGTCTGGTACTAGCTGCGGGGTGGATAGAGCCATAGCTAGCACCATCAGGAAGTTGGAGTGAGACCACAGGAACGAGAGGGGCAAATGCTGGTTTCTGCAGGGGTGGGGGGAAGGAGCAGGCAGATGGGAGAGAGAGAGAGGGTCTTATCCTCCATCCCAAAATGTCTCCTTGATGCAGTTTATGACCCTGACCCTTTTATGGGGTCAGGCACCCAACCTACCGATGACAGGTTCTGCTCAGGAGAAAGACCCAACCTAGAGTCACCTGGGAGTAGCCAATTACCTAAGTGGCTGGGCAGAAGTTAATTAGTTAAGAACTGCCTGGCTGGCCTTATAAAGGGCTATGGGGACTCAGGCAGGGCGCCCTAGAACACAGAGGTTGCTCTTGAGCAGAGAGGTTTCTCAGAGGAGCGGTTTAGAGGGCTCACCAGAAACGCGGACCTAGGAAAGGTGCTGCTGGAGGGGAGCAGCTTCGGAGAAGGCGAAGAGTGGCAAAGCCCTAGGGAGACCTGGTCCCAGTGACAGGACCAGGTTGCTGGGGAACGACGCCCCACTCCAGAGAAGAGCTGCAGTGATTCGATCTCTCTGGAGAGGCCTGAGTCCAGAGAGGGACCCTTCCCCAGGTGATGGCAAGAGGCCTGACTGCAAAGAAAGATCCCAGGTTGATGGGGCCTTTCTGGCCATGAGCCGGGACAGAGGGACTTGGGTGGGGCCAACAGACTAAGATTAGTTTGCCCCTCCCCGGACGCTGGGGGTGAAGACTTGCTGCACAGCTGATTGGCCTTTGTTTAAATAAACCAGACCCCTGAAGGGGCTTCGTTCACTACGTAAGAACTTCACTGAACTTACTGAAAGTCCACTGGGGAAACTGAGGCAGGGACACAAACTCAGCACCAGGGGGTGTGCAGGGCAACAGGGAGAGCACCCATACTATTACAGGTCCCTTCTGGCCTTGATCTCAGACTCTGGTGTGCTTGTCCAGTGCACTGTGTGCGCTGCCTGGCTTTCCAGAACATTTCCCCTTTCTTACGAGAGTTCTCCACTCCCCGCATCCAATTCTGTGGAGACCCAGCCGAAGCCGCTCGGCCACTGGAGAGCCGGGCTTCATGCCAGTTTAAAAACTGCAGGGTTTGCCGCTGGCAGGGCAGAGATCCCAGTCTGAGGTAGAAGGAAAACGGGCAGCAGCCCCATACACTTCTAATCAAACCCTACCATTTCACGGCTCTCTGCCCGGGGGCCAGGCAGCTGGGGCACATGGGAATGGGATACAGAGCCTTCCCCATCTCCAGGGTGTTGGGTCAAATGCAACCCAGCATGGGGAGTCAGAGTATGGGAGTCAAGATCCCCAGCTCTGCTACTGACTCGCATGACTTCCCGGCTCAATGCCTCCGACTCCATCGCCCACATACTCAGCTCAACAATCCACCCTGAGATCCAAACAGGAAGCAGGCCTCATTCCTTCACCTGCATCATCTCCGGGAACGATAGTTCTGCAGGCAGAGCTCAGGGACACACGTGCTTCCTCGTGACTGTTAGAAGCTCCCTCAGCGAGACCTGTCTCACCCTGTGATTGCCAGTGGTGTGGCACAGACGTGAGTGATTAGATCTCAGTCAACCATTGGGTTAACGATGCACGAGGGGGAACAGAACCCAGCTCCCGCTCTGCCTTAGCTGAGCTGGCTCGGTAGGGCTGCTAACTCAAGTCAAATCTCATCCCCATCACTAGCTGATCTGACTCCCATACCCACTAGGAGAAGATCTACCAGGTAAGCTCGGGCCATTATTTAGACATTTCCATTCCCCGAGTCTAATTCCAGCACCTTAAGCACAAGACCATCCTTCGACTCTGCCACTGACTCACTGCATAGCCTTCATCAAGTCATATCAGGGTGCCTCAGTTTCCCCACATGTAAAATGAGGATAATGCTTACTCACCTGTGTGTAGTGCTTGGAAATCCTCTGACGAGGATTAGTATTCAAAGGAG